CAGCTGCTATTTGTCTACCAATTGTTTTTAACAAAAATGGGATTGCTTTTTAAATTTAGGCAAGACAAACATATGACTTCATTATACAAATATTTAGGCTCATTATTATTGTTTAAAGTTTTTATTTTATCAAAAAAGCACATTTAACAAACAAGACTTAGCTTTGCAAGGTTGTCAAAATTTCCTTTGATACAACAAGCTTTATGTACAAGCTCTATCTTGGGCATAATAACCAACTTACAGAAATGTTCTTCTGCTCTGAAAATGTTGTTGAGACTCGGACGGATTTGGTGAAGTCAGTCTCATCCTGATCAGGTGTGTGAATGATTTGACTGCCCTAATGTCAAAGAATAAAATTAAATGTATTTGTTATATAAATATTACAAAACGACAAAATTTCAATTCTAAAACATTTTTCGAGCAAAATATTAAAATAGATAGAACTACGATTTTTTAGTTAAATGTTTAAATTTGATATGAAAATTTGCACTCGACACCTGAAAAGTGCTCACCAGCCTGGTAAGGGTCAATACATGTTTTAATATTATCTTAATTTTTTGATATACAGAAGGCTGGAATTCTCAAACTGAAAAATAGAAGAAGGCAGAACCAACATAAAGCAGAAAAAAAATAGTTTAACACAGAGTAAAGGAATGGCAGAGAAAACTATCTGTTTAGTGGTACTGTAAATATTTGTAATAAAATGGAGAAAAGTATCGTTTTGTCCATAAGAACTTATTGTGACTACATTATATGACAGTTATAGTTTACAAAATAACTGTGCTAATGACAACAGCACATATTTAGATACTGAAAAATTTAATCAACTTCAAAAACTGGAGATCATACTAATGTGTTCAAAAATTAAAAAGGAAAAGTGCATCATATAATCAAGTTTTGAATTTTTTTGTATATTTTAGTTACATTTTTGGCATCTAACTGAAAAATATATGGTTACTTTTTAAAGAGTTGAAACATTTCAATGTTATAGATTTTTGTACTGAAATTTGTTTTAAATGACACACAATACCCCACCCTAAAGTTCCTGAAGCCATGGAAGATGACATTGTAAAAGTATTTATCAACAACAATATTAAAATAGAAACATGAATACCGGAAGAGAGAGATCAAATGTGCTGTTCTACAAACACGAAACTACCTATACTCATAACCACATAGACTAGAAAATTACCATAGTGTCACCCATAAAACATCAAGTTGAAGAGCCCAAAAATTAGGTAGAATTATACAGTCTATAGATGAAAGTTCATAACACCTGCTCTAAGAACTGTAGATTAATGGAGCATAATCTTTACCCATATTAGCATACCAGTTTATAGCGAGCACAGAAAAATATACTGTAATCTATAATGCTAACTTAGAGGACAGTTTAGCTGTTCCTTCAATTGATGTCTTGTATTTCATTAGTTCTTTTTCTTATTTTACTTTCTTATTATTTTTTTGAGCAACCACCTTCCCACATCTGGCTGTAGACACGAAAAGGTGGACGTTGTGGGCTACAGCACCCACATCTGGTCCTTTTTTCTTAAGCATGTGAGGCTGGTAAAATTGGTGTTAAAGTGGATAGATGGTGTACCCCAAATGTGATTTAGGTCTTATTTTTGCCAGTACCTGAAAAAAACTGGGCACATTACCTAATGAACTACCTTATAATTAGTGTCCTGTTTGTATTGCGGCTGCTATCTCCCCCCCCCATAAAATTAACTACTATAATGGGGGATGGAATGCCAACCTCAGGAGATAAGTTTATCTTACTTACCCCCAAGAGTTTCATTTTTCTTTAACTTTTGAGAGCAGTCACCTTCCCACAACTGTTTGCAGGCAGTGAAGGGCAATATAGATGCAGGACATTGTGGGCTTATGCACCCACATCTCACTCTCTTGATTTGAAATTTTTTTAATGATTTTATTTGATTTTTTATGAATTTCTTCACGTAAGACTGGTGAACAGAGGTTAAGACTGATAGATGGTGTATCCCCACTGCAATGCTGGCCCTACTTCTGGAATCACCTCCAAAACCCAGGGCATATTTTATATCCCGCAACATAGCCTAAACCATGGGGATCCTTTTAATTTATGCAACATCTTTAATTTTATTTTGTTTGGGCTTGTTTTGTTCATTTACACACACACACACACACACACTCTGGCAACCACCTCTCTTTACAAAACTTGATAGAATGAAGTTAACAGTTTCAATGTTAAAATTTTAAAACAGAAAAGGACATACAAGTCCTACCTCTACATGCCTTTTTTTTGTAAAACTCTAGCACTGGAAGGTTAATAGAGTCAAAGTCTCCTGTGACAATATGAGGTATGTAATCTTCCCGGTTATTTCCAGTTACGTTGTAGATATATTTTGCTCCTCCATCAACAGCTACTCGTAAAACAGCTGGAAAAATTATGAACAACACTTTTACACTCTCTTTATGAGTAGGCGCCACATAAACTTTTCCCAAATGACTGACTGAGTTATTATGAAGTTTTAATGAATAATTGGCAGAGAAACAAAATTGTTTGTAACTTAGCATCGTAGATTTATGTGTAAAAAATTTATGTGGATAAATTAAAACTTCTAAGTTGATTAAACCTTGTGAGATTTTTGTGATTAATGGATAATAAATATTATTAAAAGCAAGGTTTAATACATTATAATTATTATAGGTTTTAGTTTTCTTAAATACTGAACTTCTAGTGAGCTTTATAAAAAGGATTGGATTTATTAATTTGTAAAATACTTTTAAATTTTGATTTTTATAGTAAACTTAATGATCATAGGTTCTTAGTAACTTATAAAGTTACAAACAAAAGTACCTATCCCCAGTGGCGGGAAAAGTTTAAGTTAATCTATCAATTTAAATTATTTCATGTACTTTAAAAAGGTTAATTGTGCTGCACTCCTGGTTTTACTCAGAACCAAAGCTCTAAGCTACTTATACCACCCACCGTGAAAAGTAATTGTTGAGCATTTAATTCAAGCCACTCAACAATAACATATGGTAAATCTGTATTTCTATTCTTTAAGTCACGTTACATATTGAAATGCGAATCATAGTGTGATTAATTCCTAACAATTTAGTTTAGAATATCCTACTTGCAAAATAAAATTTGGCATCAACTTTATTCATGTCTGTTTTTCCTTCATTTAAAAATTGAATGATGAGCTTTGCCTACTTGCACAGCTTTTCAAATGCAGCACGGAAAGCAGCTGCCATAAACGGGAGATTGATGAATGCTCGGACAGACATCATGGTTCGCAAAACGAAAAAAAATTATCTTATAAATCCAAATGAATTATATTTTATCACCTGTACCTTCATAAACCAACTAAAGATTTATTAACAAAAATTTCACAGGCAAAATATTTGCTAGTGCTTATTAAAAAGTCTCTTAATTCATACTAGCCCCTGATCAAAGAAAGCTACTTACATAGATTAGAACTAAAAGTCCATCCAGTTAGGGGTATAGCCGATTAAATACATTGTTAATGACATTAATTCCTATAACATCTAATAACATTGTAGGTTTAACGTTCCTTGAAGAAGTTGACATCAGTATATGCAAGACTTTAAAGAGTCATTTAAAGGCTACACCAAGTCATAACTAATATTGAGATTACAAAAATAAAAATATGGAAGAGCTAATTGTTGAAGCCCAAACATAAAATCCTCAAGCAAAGAAAACAATTAATGAAGTCAATCTGTGATTAACTTATACTCTTAATTCCAATTCAAAGTATCTGTACCTACATAAGAAGTTTTAATTATATTTCTGAACTGATGGCATCACAGATAAAATATTTAGTTTGTCAATCTTTTCAAGTGACACATGTAGTGGTACGTACTTATAAAATAAGTTTTATATAGCCCCTAGATATGTATTTGACCAGTATATGACTGTTCTACGCAAATTTTAGAAAACACTTATTCTCACCACTCTTCCAAAGTTTCTTTACTTTCTCTTCAACTTGCTCATCAAATGGCTGATTCAACAAAATGACAGCATTTTTGTTCCCTACAACAAAACAACCAGAACTTGAAACTTCTGATAACATATATATATATATACACAGCATTTTTGTTCCCTACAACAAAACAACCAGAACTTGAAACTTCTGATAACACACACACACACATATATATATATATATATATATATATATATAGGGTATAAATGATTTACAATAAATTGAAACTTTGTATAAAATGGTTATGGTTACACACCAGAGGGCTTTAGCATCGACAAAAATTACAGACTATTCTCTTTCCAGTCCTATAAGTTTTTTTAATCAACTATTCATTATTATATAAATTTTCTGTAACAAGTTCTTAATGTAAATCAGAAAAGAATGAGGTTTTTACCATACAGAAATAAATCAAGTCTGTTAATTTCTGCTCAACACTATAGCAACAGGGAAACTAAATCCCAGCCTAGCATCAACAAAGTGGTATATTATTACAAAGTCTAAGCAACTATCCAAGTTAACTATTTTATTCTCAATAACACTTGAAATTTCTTACATTATTTATGAGAAAATTGAGAAGACTATTAACATCATAAACTACAAAATGATAAACACCCTATAACCCGAGTTCTTTTGAGACGCTTAGGTTATAGGGTTTTTATCATCTTGTACCAAGACTTCTTGAACTTGCGTGTTTTTCTGACATCATGAACATTTTAAACTAGCAACTGAGAACAAAAGCTACATAAACTTTAATAAGTATGCCAGTTGCTTCTTATCTTTGCTCCATGAATTTATGTAAAAAATTTAATAGACACTTGTACCTCTTTATCATATTAGTTTTGTGCACAAGTCAGCTTCTAACTAAACAATAAAAAAATACTAAATTTGGAACACTTGTTTTCTACTTACTCTATTATATTAGTTATCTGGGCAATAGTAAGTTTAATTTATTTGTAAGATTATCAATAAAATCAAGAATCTGATAGAGAGAAGTGTACATTTAAGAATTAAAAAACCTGGACTTTAAAAATAATGAACAACTATGAAGCTGCATGAGCACTATCTTTGATCTTTGAATTCAAAGAAAAAATTAAATGGATACTCATAACTACTATATTAACATTGCACATCAGTGAACAACTAATTTCCTTTAAAGATATATGTATATATATTTACGTACGTGTACATGCATGCTGGGATCAAAATTAGCTGGACCTTGTTGGCAAAAAGCCAGTGTGTTCTACTGTTTAGCAAGTGACCATCTAGGAGCACTTTCATTACTTTTGCAGTTAATAATCCATGCGTGATTATTAACATTCAGACCAGTTTAAACAATGGACAGAATCCCCCAAAAAACAACTTCATACACAGCATTTATGGGGAAAAATTACACTATGATAATTAAATGAAAAGCTTTTTTCAATAGCTTGTTTGACATCTTTCTCATGCATTTTCAAATACATTCCCCAACTTTAAAATAGTAAGTAAAAACAATGCATTCAAGTGATGTTTCAGTTTTTTTGTCACATTATATTAGGAAATGTAAATTTTACAAACACATATTTAACAGTTGATAGTATACATAAAAAAATGCAACACTCCCTGGAAATACGCATTAGCTGGCTGGTTTTATCTTATGAATAATTTGTTACATTTTTTATTAGCATGGGTGGCACTTTTCCAAGTGTTTTTAAGACAATTGGCAAATATCTACCAGTGACTATAAAAAAAAAAGTTAATTTCAAGCTCTGGTATATACCAGTACAATGAGTGAAAATTTAATAATTTTGACATTGTGGTAATTAAGAATGTAGCACTATCCTCAAAACTAGTATAACCCAGAAACCTGGGTTCACACCCTTGTCAGGACAGATTGCTTTTCAGTTTTCACCTATTTCAGGTTTTTTTACATTACTACACACATGCATTCCATATTGATAATTTTTAAAGATTTTAAACTTCTGTTTCTACAATCTTGAAACTAATGTAAAACATTTCACAAAGAGCAATCAGCTCTTTTAGAGAATAAAAAATATATATCCTTTCATCTAACCCTTCATCGTACCTGAATTTTCACTCAATATCTTCAAAGGTTGCCATTCCTTTGAAGTAGAAGGTTCATAGTTGGAATTCATAATGACTTGTCAATAATGCTGCGTGTTAAATGTTTCTGAAATCAAAGGGATAAAAATGTTTACTGTGGTTTACTGATTAGGTCAGTGAAATTAAAGAAAAAAAAACAAGCAGAGAGAATAATTATACTGCCAACAGAAACAGACTAATTATGGGAATTAAATTTTAGAGAAATTGGCTGGATTAGTCTTTTTTTCTCTATTAATGTTATGAAGTGTTATGTTGCTCACCATACACAAGATCCTCCTACAGTTTAGTTGTTATTTGTAATACTCATCCGATAAAAATAACAAAATAAAATTTTCTATTTTTGTATAAGACTAATAAGGCTTTATTTGAAGTTATGAATAGATTTGTCATCTTACTTTAAGTTTCAGAAAATCTCAACATGTTAGGGCTCAGAAATGGACTACTAGAATGATAACTAGTTTATGGACTAAGGACTAATCATAGGCTGAGCCAGGTATAACTCTTCCCACAGTATTGTAGTTCATACTTGGACATCAGCCTAGACAAGTGAAAATTGTTAACACAATACAGACACACAGTGTTGGTTATAATAGTTATCTACATTAACTTTTATTATTTCTAATTTAATTTGATGTTTTTGTTATATTGGTTTCTTTGCATCATTAGCTTAGTATATGGATTTCGGGTAACCTAAGCCTCCTGGGTTGGTACCTGATTATGTCAAAACCTTGTACATTTGCTGTTATGTTAAACTTATATTAAAGTTTTTCTTCATTACCCATTCAAGCTGTCTCCAACCAGTTCTTAGAATTACTGATGTTGTCTTATTCCGTTGATACAGTGGTTACTTGATCTGCTTATGGAAAATCAAAATTTGAAAAACTTCAAATTCAAAAAGATTAGCTTGTTGGTTCACTAGTTGAATAATTCTTTTGAGTGATGAGTAAAGTTAATTCAACTTAAAGTAAAAATAAGTAATAATAAAGTTTAGTTAAAATAAATTAATTATATTAAATGATTTTATGATACTAATCATTATGCAAGTATCATTAGTAACAGTAATTAATTATATTACTACTAGTAGTAATACTGGTTTAATTCTGATTAAATGACTCGTAAAATATATAAAATTCATAGCAATTAAACTTCATAGCTTAATCTGATTCACACCATAACATTTGTTGTCTAACAACTTCCTAATAATAACATAAATAGCATATAAACTGCTACTGTGTTTAAATTCGATGACGAGGAACCCACTTTGAAACTAATAATACTACTAGTAGTAGTTCCACTGGTATTACTATTAGAAAATGTACGTGGTTAGTACTACTACTACTGCTAGTAGTAGTAGTACTAACCACGTACCGTTTCTAATAGTAATACTAGTGAGTACTAGCAATTTTATTATACCTGAACATAGATTTTTTTTTATCTCAGTTTATAATAAATAGCATGTTTATAAACCTAGTGAAAATATGAAATATCTATAAGTACTAACCTCACAGTCACGACACAATTAGTAACAATTTAAAATACGCCCATCACGAAATCATAGATATTACCAGTACCACAGCAATATAACTATGAAGAAACCAGAGATATAACATTGTATAGTGTATATTACTGACGCGCCATCTCACTCTGTTGGCAGTTTATGTGCATAAGAACAATAATAAACATTACATCTCACACAAAATACTCATTTCACTATTTTATGCAATACAGTGAAACCACAGTTGATTCAAAGTTATTTATTTTTTCTGATACATCTGTTACAATCTTAAGCTTGTACCCACTTGAAAAATCTCATATATAAGTATTATCGTACTCGTCATTTGATAACACAGCGAAACTTTCGCGCTATAAATTTCATGGGCTACTTTAGACCGTGAGGTAGGTGCGTATCGTTCAAATACCAGCCTAACGTAAGAGGTTGTGCTAATTTACTGATCTGTTGTAACAATTTAAAGTTATACGAATTAGGAGTTGGGTAAGTTTACCCTTGTCTACTTACGCTGGTTGGTTATATCACTTTTGAAAATGAGGCTGTGAAAAAAACAGACTTTCTGCTGTCTAGGAGTAGTGATTTTACTTGGTATTTTAATTCGCACCTTTGTTACCCTAGTTCTTTTCGAGAATGTTAACATTGTGCCACACGCAATAGGAAGACTTAGTCTTTTGTTTTACCTCTATCAGGCATGGGCTAGTCTAGGTGGATCCGCTGGATCGGACCTAAAGACCCTTAGTTCTCTGTAAATTTTATGTTAAAAAGTACATAAATAACATTTATCTCAAGTTCTTCAAAGTTTGTTTGAGGTTTCTTACAAACCTTTTTAGGCATTTAAAACATACAACAGTGCTTAATTTCTGCTGGAAGCTGTTTAGGATTTTTTCTTTAAGCGAAAAGCGGTAATACTGTAATTCATTTTAAGAGTGACTTTGAAGCACTGAATACACAGGGCAAATATTCCACGGAAGCCCTTGCAAAGCCAGTTACTTTAGCTTTTGAAAAGTTACGTGAGTTTTGCATAACTCAAAAATGCATTACTCAGACTTTATAGAATCTTTGTTGGTACTCAAGGTGGTCTCTGAAAAATTAGTTTCATTTAGTTTCACTCATCAATTCCCTGCAGCCAGATTGCGGTGAAAAACTAGTAAACTCTTTAGAAGGTATAAAATAGTCCTCTATCTATACGATGCAAGGAAACGTAATATACTCAGTTTCTCATATTCATCTTTCAGAAATTGAAGAGCCATCTTCTTTTTCACATCTCTTGTTGTTCACGCTAGTCTTTTCAGAAGTGTCACTTGCATCACTAGGAAAAGTGGATTTTAAATTCTGTGCAATTGTTTTGTAAAAACAAAGTTTTGAATTTTTTTATGAAGTTCCTGTGATTTCTGGATTTACTTAATTTATACATAAATCAACTAATGGAACATTATCATCTAGAAGATAATGGAAGAATGCACTTTTCTCTTGTTTTCTTGATCTAAAGTTTTCATCAGTTTTTAATTTCATTTGTATAGATTATTAATTTACTTTGTTCATTCAAAGGATAATGAGGGTCACTTTAAAGAAATTGCAAGGGTGATTTTAAGGTGAATGTGAAATGAGCGAGTTTTGAACCATCCTATTTTCGACATATTTTTATTTATTTTTTACAAAGTTTAACATTTCAGTTTAACTTTGGAACGTAATTTAGTGAATTAATGAATATAATTCTTATTTTTAGTCATATAAAGAAATGAATAGTGGAAACTGTGGCTTAACAGATGATTTTATGGAAGCCTGTTCTGTACAAGTTTGAAGGCAAATTGTGTTTGTTGTGTTTACTGTTTTGATTCAGCATACCAGTTTTCCATATAAAGTAATAATGAAAGATGGCAATGAAAGTAATTACATGTCCTTTATCATTGGCTTGAATCCAACACTCCATCTCAAAAACTGTCAATTCAATATCGTTGGTAGTGCTAGTGATAAACTTAATTTTGAGAATGTATTATTTAGGCATACTACACGTTTTACACCCTCTTATTTAACACGAACAATCTTCAAAGTGTTCATGCATATAAGTGTATATAGTTTTAACACAGGGTTTTGGTTAAGGACGTAATTAACTCCATTTTACCC